TKKTTTTTTATCACAGAKYAGAAAAAATGATATTGATCATAATTGATTATTATTTATTTGGGTTACCTGTGKTAAACAKTCTTTATTGTTTCATCCAGTTGTTGTTCAATTCTGTCAATATWTTTACCACAGTTGATTGACAAGCATGGATTCGAAGCAGAGCGTCATCTGTTTTATGTTTTGTTCTCATCTGTTGACTTTACATCTGATCCTAAAAGCTCGGGAAGAGATCAACAACAGGTAGGATATAGATTCCTTCTTACCCCAAACCTTTCTTGTTCATTCTCTGTCAAATGAATCTCATGGCACAATAACCTTTGGTGTCCCTCTTTATCTTATTCATTTTAGGTTCAATTGCTTACTCAAGAATGCCAGTCACTTATAACTAAACCAAATTTCCCAACATTACTCTGCTGTGCCTTTGAGAATCCTGACCAGAAACAGAAAACTCTTAARCCATCACCACAGCTTCTTCCTAATGTCAGCAAGACATTAAAACTTAACAAAGTTCAAGAGGTAAAGAATCAGTGTTGTTATACAGGGATTATTAGAAAGCACTGTGTTGAAAAAATAAGTCAGTTATACAAACACACAAAACAAAACTGTTCATTTGTTAGATCTTTGAATTAMAAGTACAGAKYCAAACTKTTATTCTCTGTTTTTAGGTTGTCTTTGGTCTTGGCTTGATGAGCTCRTCCAATGATGAACTGAAAAGTTTTGGTGAGTATAAGCTGTTCAGGATTGATATGAACATTTTTGTGGCTACTCTGGTATTTTATACAGAATACCACTGTGCTATCATGCGTGCAATACCGAGTCTGTCAATGACTGTGCCACTTCATGTCATGTACATGTATTAAGTTATCCCATAAACCCTCCCCTTTGATATACAATACAGTTCATATCTTCCTGGTCAAATATTCCTCACTTTAGTGCAGTATTTAGTGGTTTTGGTTTCTGTATAATCATAACAGGATAGTAATAGAGTTGATAAARTGATAGTGATAAATATATTACAGTAAATTTCTAACCATTGCATTTTAAGCTCACCAGTTAAACCAGTTGAATAATACTTGTATGTTTGCTTGAATAGCTGGACAATTTGTCAAGCAGAAACTACCAGATCTCTTGAGATCATATATTGATGCAGGTGAGCTGAAACACTGTTGCCATTGAGTGTGATTTTGTTATTTTCATTGAAGGAGTGATATTGATAAAGGTGTTATTATTCTAGATAGTGGAAGTCAAGAGGGTGGTTTATCTGACGTATCCATTGAAGTTCTACACAGACTGCTATCATACATCATTCATGTACCAAGAGATCTAGTAGGTGTAGGTGAAGATCAAATCAATGCTTTCTTGGATACTTTAAGGAGAGATTTCCCTAAAGAACGAGTTCCGGTTGTCCTTGCTCCTCTTCTSTATCCTGATTCTCATGACATTCCTACTGACAAGTAAGTTCAACTAATTTTGCCATCACACAACCCAAAACTTTGTTATTTTTCATCTTCTTGGCCATGACCTTTGATAAGGTTTTCGTGGAAATATCTGATGTGAAAGTTCAGAGGTACATGTATCCTGAAAAAATAACAATGCTGTACCMTTACATAATTCTCTTTTGTAAATTTCTAGGCTTATTCCAGACTCAAATGCTCCACCCAAAGTTGTTGTAAGTATCAGACATAACATTTTTAATAAAARAAACACAGAATGAAATGCAAACTTTAATGTAATTATGCAGACAAACTATGTT